TATGCTTACCAAGGTAATATGACCAAGTTCAGATCTTATTCAATACATGTTCACACCATGTATCGTTAGTTGACTATCATTATCAACTTTGTTTTAATTTGATTATTATGTTAAGGTTATTGTGCTTTGAAAATTCTCTTGAATACGTAAATAATGAATGATACCATTTAGCAACATTCGAAATTAGCTGAATTTGATGGAAATATTGTTTTGAAGAATCATAAAACAACTGACACTTGCACTTAACCTAAGTCGAGGCTATAGACGAGTAGACCAAAGTATTTACACCGACTTGTTCATCATTTTATTGAGTTGAAGTAATCACTGTACCTAGACCTCCACGTCGTAGCCATCCGTCAACGTATGAAAAATAAAGTGTCTTCAAATTGAGTTGTCACTGTCATCGTAACGTGATATGTTTTTGGTTTGTTTTGGTAATTTTTCGTTATTTGTTAGGATCTGAACATTTATTCGTGTTGAAATGAGACTACTCCTTGGTGCAGAACTCCTTGGGGATCCCGAATTTGATAATTTTGAGTTATTTTGGTTAACGTAAGTTGATTTTTAAGGTATACTTGAAAGTGCGTGAGATAACGGTCACTATATATTAACGCGAACGTGAAGAATTGGAAAATACGCATGCGTAGCTGCCAATTTCTACGTTTACGTTAACGTTATGACAACACTTCGACTCTCTACTATTTTAGTCGCACCAGACAACAGATTTCGGTACCAAACCAAGCTGGAGACTTTACCAAGTGAACAGTTTTTATAACACACTTATCAAGAGTATTCAGTTCCAATATAGTGGTTAGTCAGCTTACCAAGACCCGGTAAAATCGTGGCGACTAGGTGCACCTTTTTTTTTATATCGCTTGGAGCGCACGAAAGGGAATCCCTAGTTCAAAAAACATCGTGCGTTCCTAGGGACGATAGGGTTTAGGAGGTAGGTATTGGCATTTTTTTTTAACTTCCGGAGATTATATGTCGAGTTATATGTTGTTGGGAATACTTCCTCAGGCAATGAATTCCAGAGCCTAGCCGTGCAATGGATGAAGGAGTTTTGATAAAGTGCTGTTCGACATCTTTCGAGGTTGAAAACAAAAGGATGTGCTGACTGTGCTTGTCTAGTTCGAGTGACTGGTATTGCTAGTGAAGGGATGATAGCAGAGATTTCCAAAAAACATTTCCCGTGGAAGTATCGATAAAAAAGTGAAAGGTCTCCGACCTTTCTACGGTGTTCCAATGATGTCAAAGAGTGAGTGAGTGTGGCGTCACCCACCAGGCGGATGGATCTTCTCTGGATGGAATCTAAGAGCATCAGCTTATGTTTTGGTGCTGAACCCCATATGTGGGAACAGTATTCTAGAACAGGCCGTATCTGTGCTTTGTAGATCATGAGGAGCTGTTGAGGTGTAAAGTAGCTTTTCGCACGGAACAAGAATCCGAGTTTTTGTGAATGGATCTGACATGATTATCCCATGAAAGTGTTGCTGATGGAAATACCGAGCATATATATGGAAGGAATTGAAATAGAAAGTGCTTCAGTCTGAATGTTCTAATACTGATTGCTTACCCTCACGAATAACCCTGTATCAATATAAATGACTACAAAATAACACCTTCTTATGTATTCAACGGTAGTCTGATATGGTTGATAAACCAGTAATAATGAAGATACCTAGATACCCAAGAATGGCAGGCTGAGTTGCATCAATACGTAATTAATATTTTTCGGTTTTGACCTTGTCATGTCATCAAGAAAATATCTTACTAATTATCTTTGATTGCTGCTGTCACTTCTAATTAATAACACACGTGCAACTACGGCTTGATTAATGCATGCGCTGATTCGGTTCCCACACACCTGTGCAATCCTTTATAGGGTGATTCAGCCAAGAAAGATAATAACATTCAGAACTTCATCTCGATTCCAGTGTGTTTACGTCGAAATAGATCAATGCTGAATATTTCATTTCGATTGAAAGCTATGAACAATATACAGGGTGTTTCGAATATTTTATTTACTTTCCAGATCAACAGAAAGTGAGAAATAATCGTATCATCGTTGTTGTCGTTGATTTGATTTTTTTATTGTCTGCCTTTTACTTGTGGGGATCGAGCTATTTCGGGAGTCCCAAGTAATCCTATACAGGCAATATCTCGCTCATTGGATAGGATAATAAAGAAATACTGCTCATAAAAAATGTATTACATTCATACATACATACATACATTCTTTTTGAAATACAGCGATAGCACACATACTTGGTATTTTGTTAATTAATAACAACGACATCAACTTTTTGAGACTTATTATTTAAATGACAAATTGCCTCCGTCTATGTTTTCAACAACTTCACAGAATTCCTACGATTGTGTATAACTCTTGGTATGATGGGACATACTTTGTAAATTTGCCTATGAAATGGTAAGTTTAAAAAACTCTACAGCTAGCAAAAAATCGCATGGAGAGCTGGAGAATCTGTGACCAAACTTCACATCACAACATTAATTGAGTACTAGCACTAATGAGAAGCCATTCTCCTCATAAGGAATATTATATTGAAGACTGCAACCTTTAGCACGATAATACACTACCCAATGTTATGTTAGTATGTTCAGGAGAAGATTGAAACTAGTTTTGGTATAACAGTGTGTAGTGTATTAGGAATATTGATAAATTAGGCAAGAAAAATATATCTCCTGGGAGTTTCGAGGGCCAGAAAGTTAGATAAGACTAATAAACAAAAGTAACCTGAATCTACTGTGACTTCTCATGCTTCGTTCCTGTAAGTATTTTCCCAAGGTATATAATTATCGATGTATTTATTATGGAATACGATTTTCTCTGCGTTTTATTCCACAAAATATAGAATATTGACTTATGAGTCACACTCTGAAAAAAATCCTGGCTGTTCTATGTTGTTGTGAATTCTTGAACAATAGCACGTAGCCGTCAAATCAGAAGCGCTTTAACGTTGATACACTTTTGCCCCGAAAAAAACTCATAGGTACTCTGGTATGTTCCCACGTGATTATCAATGTCGAATTGCAGAATCGCCCATTGTTCGGGAAGTAAAAATATCTCGGAGGTTCATCTCCTAATGGAGCTCGGGCGTGGACATGTCAGAAGTAACGCTATTGTTGAAGCTTTCTAGTGTTTTAGTGGCCCGCAACGGCGGTACTCGTGGGAACTGCCGAATCGATTGCCTACCTACACGAATTAAATACCCCTGATCATTCATTATTAATCGATTAGTATGGATTCTTTCGGTCCCACCCGGGTCGGAACTGAGAAACTAATAAATCTTATCCTACAGGGTGTCTTATCTCAAGCATTTATATGTAATACGGACGGGAAAAATTTACTTTCCAGTATAAAAGTGATAGTAGGCAAGTAAGCCCCCATGTGTCTTTTTGCCAACCACTGCTCTTATGTATAAATATTTCTTCTAGTTGGCTATTCTGAACCTTCCTGACCTCCTGATGAAGACCAGGATAATTATCCACTATAATTCAGTTAGATCACCTTTATCCATCCCACAGATTCCGACTCTCATCCATCCTACGCCTCACATGCACTCTGCGAGGAAGTGAAATGACGTTTCCTCATCTTCATCACGGAAGAAAATTTGATAACATAAATATTGACTTAGCAACAATTCTCGAATGGGGATCCAATAACTTGGTAAATTTCAATGCAAACAAAACACAAGCATGCCTTTTCTCTAGAAAAGGCAATCTCAGAGTGCCCAACATACGCTTGTCAGGAGTAATCATACCTTTGAAAACATCCATTTCGATACTTGGTATTACTATCAGCAATAACCTTCCTCGGTAAAATCACGTGAGATCAATAATTGCTGAAAATGCATCCCGAAAACTTGGTTTTCTGTTTCGAGCCAGAAGCTATTCCACTTTCAGTCAGCTGCTTATGATCTATGAGGCACAGATCTGACCTGTCTTAAAATACTGTTCCCATATTTTTTGTAGTACAGCACCCAAACATACCCTGAAACTGTTGGATTCTGTCCAAAAAAGGGCAATTCGTCTCGTGAGTGATGCCTCGCTCACAAACTCATTCACTTCTCTGAAACACCGTAGAAAAGTTGACGATCTAGCTCTATTTTATAGATGTTTTCATGGACGATTCCCTTCTGAAATATCAACAATTGTTTCTCCCTTGGCAGTCCCCGCGAGATTAACCCGTCGAGTTATGGCTTCGTCTTCTTTCTTCGTCTTTCCAAAGACTCGTTCATCCAACCAACAGCGAGGCTCTGGAACACATCGGCAAGGGAGGTGTTCCCCGAGGCATATATAACCTCCAGAAATTTGAGAAGAACACCAGTTCCTACCTTATTTCCCTTGGTTCTCACGATGTTCTCTGAACATAACAGGATATCCCTTTTCGTGGGAACCAGAACATAAAAAAAAACAATTTGAATTTTTCAAACGTGCAAATACCATTTGATTGGATTGAAATTTGTGTGGATCAATTCTGAAAATGCCAGGATGAAAGTGTTGAATATTTTTTCATTAGTACTTTCTGTAGAAAGATATTGTATCAACTGGATGGATTTCTTGAAACCTGCTGAGGAATTATTTACACTATTAACAAGTTCACCAAATATTTATTAATATCTCGAGAGATTCGGTTCAGTTGAATAATATCACTTTATTTCTGATTGAACTATATAGTGATATCTTATCAGTTTACAGTTTCATGGTGATCATTCTATACACGGTAAAAAACAATGATGATGTATACGCATACATAGATGATTCAGATAAAATGTTGTTCCGTACTTATCTATACTTCAAACTTATTGAAGGAAAAGTCTGTAATATGGGTGAAATTGATCAGAACCTACCAATAACAAAATAGTGAATTTCACTGTGTAGACACTTGGGGACGACTAGAATAGATAACAGCTTGATAATTTCAAAGATTATACGCTCTTGATGATGGTTAGGTGTTATAACTGTTCAAATTACCTGTCGTTAATATCTGTGTTGTAAAACGTGAACGTGAGGAACCGAAATGAATTCGCTGCCGAACGTAAAAGTATGTCAATGTCTTGTGGCACCGGAATAATATGTCATTGTTCAATATTTTGCTAAATATCATACTTTCAACGGGTGATTGTAGGTGAGTCAAAATTAGAAATACATCACAATAACCATTATTTGGATTCAATCGATTCACGATCACTGTTATATCAGGAGAAACTGGGTTAACAATCATATAAATATTTTGACTGATGCGCACATAGATTACCGTTCTGTCATATTGACTTGTTTCTTTAATATTATCATAACATAGAGGGTGTGTTAAATTGTGTTTTCAAGTTTTAACGCGTATAAGAATCTAATTTTCCCATCATCATGATCAAGAAAAACTGCAACTTATGTATTCAGCCTATAATGCCTCATTGCTTCGGAATATTCAACAATTCATAGGAGCATTTTTTCGTGAGATATCCACAGTATTTCCAAATAGTTTGAATAAAAAATGTTTGGGTAAATAAGTTGCAGATGATTTTGTTTAGGATGTTTGATTTTGTTATCACTGCAGAAGAATCAAAAGTATAGTGCATACGTTTTTTGCAAATTCGAATATATCATATTGTACTCAGTGAGATGAAGGAATATTGGTATACAGCGTGTCTCGTTTCAAACGGAGCTATTATTTGTGCGATCTTAACCAAATTTTTAACCGTATGAATACAATCAATATGATGAGTTTTTCAGAGACGAACAGAATTTTAGACAGTGCTGTGCGTTTTCATCGAAATGAAAAGTGGTAAATTTCTTCTTGAATTCTTATTAGGAACTTTTTACAGAAAAACTGACCCTATACATATGATTCCTATGAATGGTTTGAAAAAAAACAGGCACATCTAAACAGCAGTTTCATGGAAGTAATAATTATTTACTGGAACACGGTGATTTCAACATGAAATGGTATAATCTTGTTTTTGCTTTCAAATCATGATTTTCTTCCCACCGACGCTATCGAAACTTTAAAAATTTGCTGTTAGTTTGAATTCAATATTTCCTTGAGGCTGAAAATGAAAAAAATCAAGCAGGTCCTGTTAACTCGGAATGAGGTAATTTTTCTCATATGAAAGAACGAACGCATGAGGAACAATAATATGAAGTTAGTTTTCTTGCAAAAAATTCCTAATATGATTTCATGAAAATCGAATTCTTTTCATTTCAACAATAAAGCACGAAACTGTCCAAAAGTATGTTCGTCTCCGAATTACTGATCATATTGATAATTATCCATACCTTTCCTGGTAATAATCGCACGACTAAGAGCTGAGATATAAGATTTCCTCCAACTATAGCCATTTTCCTAGAAGTAAGACCTAACCTAACCTAACCTCACAAACCGGGTCAACAATAAGTAAACCAGTCAATTTTCCCAGAAATGTATTCCAAACCATGACGTAATAGTTAACCAATCACACAAACCAGTCGACTGAGGTAGTTCACGAAATAGTTAAGGGTTTTGATTGGGCACTGGATTGGGCTCTTGTTGTTAAATCTGAGGATATCTGAGGTTATACAGGGTGATTCAAAAGTAAGCGGCATCCTTTCAGAGGCGTATTCCTTGCATGAAAATAAGGCAAAAAGTTCCTATTGATAAGGATCCGAAAATGCTTCCTAAGGGAGCTACGGCCCTTTGAATAGGACACCTCAAAGACGGTTTTTTCTCTATAACTTTAAAATCCTTCACAACAAATTTTTAAAAATTGGTGTACGGCATAAACATTCGATGGTAAATAGGACTCCGTATTCGAAATAATTTCCAAACGAAATCACAGTAACCTGAATATCCGGAGAAGAAGGGATATTTTTACACTTACCCTCTCCCGCATGTGACGCCCCTGAATGAAATTCTGAAATTTCGAATACGGTGTCCTATTTACCATCGAATGTTTATGCCGTACACCAATTTTTGAAAATTTGTTGTGAAGGATTTTAAAGTTATAGAGAAAAAACCGTCTTTGAGGTGTCCTATTCAAAGGGCCGTAGCTCCCTTAGGAAGCATTTTCGGATCCTTATCAATAGGAACTTTTTGCCTTATTTTCAAGCAAGGAATACGCCTCTGAAAGGATGCCGCTTACTTTTGAATCACCCTGTATAATTGATATGAAAAATTATTTAGAGATAATAATTATGGATTCATATCATCATCATATTATCCATGATAAACGGATATCTGATTCATTGTAAATATGTACTAAGCGAATTGTACCAATTTTCTACGAATTCGAAGTAGGTAAGTACCTAGTTCCCATATACCTAATAATACCGATATATTTTTGTTATAGATGATGAGTTCCTCATTCAATGAATTAGTATCACTACTAAAACCAATCAATAAACAAAAACAGCTAATGAACTGACATCTGTCAAGCATCAAGTAGACCGTTGACGTCATAATAATGTTACCGTGACGTCATCATAAACTTAACCTGGTTTGTCTGGTTAGGTTCGAGGAAAAATGCCATGTAATTTTTCTGCGAGCTTGAATTCATCCCACTGCAATGTCAATACTCTAATAGAAAATATCATCATGTACATGTATAATATGTTGTTATCATCTGTACCAGAAATCTATTTGTGAGCTACAAATGAATAGACTCACCCCAATCCGTTCTACTGCTGCTTTCCCCAGTTCATTCATAAAGCTATTTTAATTCCAGGCTAAAATCTCGGCCAACTAACCAACAATGGCAATGGAGAAGACATCAAAAGACCCGAACGAAACGCCGATAATAAAAGCCAAAAGTAATGCACTGATACGCACCATAACCGCCATCTCCCTCCTATCGTACTTCGCAATCGTCGTATACGTAGGAGTCCCTTTAATCCTGCTCAACGCTTTGATCATCCAAATTAAATGTTTCGATGAAGTAATCACCATCGCATACAACATGAAGAAGATACCGGACATTCCTTGTTTCCGAACGCTGAATTGGTATTTCGTGATCGTGGCCAACTATTTCTTCTCTGGAGAAACCTTCGCTCAGCATTTCGAGCCGTACGTCAGAAAGTACTACGCCCTCCACGTATTGGTTGCGTATCACAGATTCTTCTCTTTCTGCTGGTACTTTGCTGGGGTCATCTGGTTCCTGTCCATGTTGAAGCAGAAGCTGATCCAGGAACAGTTCAGTTTATTCTTCTGGACTCACTTCCTTATCATCATCATCAGCTTACAGACCTATTCGCTCATCCAAACCATGTTCGAAGGGTTGATTTGGGTCGTCATGAGTATATGTCTCATTACACTGAACGATATATTCGCCTACATTTTCGGAAAATTCTTCGGGAAGACTCCGCTTATTCTTTTGTCGCCCAAAAAGACGGTAGAAGGGTACATATTAGGTGGAGCTAGTACATTCGTATTCGGGGCTGTGCTAGCTTACATATTCTGTCACTTACAGTTTCTAGTTTGTTCTCCAAACTATGTTGGAGATAGTTTCGTACTGGATACGAACTGTACGCGAAGTTACCTCTTCAAAGTAAGAGAGTATTCAATAGGCAACACTGGTTATTTCTTCAGTGTATACCCTTTTATTTTACATTCCTTATCCATGTCAGTATTTGCCAGCATCATAGCTCCTTTTGGAGGATTTTGTGCGTCTGGTTTCAAGAGGGCTGTGAAAGTCAAGGATTTTGGCAATCTACTTCCTGGACATGGCGGATTCATGGATAGATTTGATTGTCTTTTCCTCATGGCAACATTCGTTAATGCTTACATCAACGCCTTCATCAGAAGCCCTGATGTCGACAAGATATTTCAAAGAATACTGAGTCTTGGTGAAGAAGGTCAGATAGAGTTCTACCACTTACTGAAAGGGTCATTGAATGATGAAGGCATATTAAATGGCTAATTTAGACATCTGTAAGTGTGGATTTCATCGATATGTCAAGTGCATATAATTATTTGGAAACTATTTATTTGGTTAATTCAGCCATGTTAGTTGTTATACTTATATATTTGCTGTTGTTCCATAAAATGAAATCAAAATATCAATTCAACATGCACTATTCTGGTATATTTGAGTATATGTCTTCATGTTTCACAATACAGCTCCTATAACATTTTTCAACATGTCTAATATTAGGTATATTGATGATAGTAATAATGGAGGTTACCAGAAGGAACTTCATATGAACTGGTATATATTAGTCAGAATATTCATATTATATTTAATTCATGTAACAAATTTATTTCTATGAAATTAAATTTTATAAACCTACTATACATTCAGTTAATTGTTTCGAATTATTTTTTTCAACTCAATTATGAGAGTTATACCGATCAACAGAGACATTTTAAATAAAATATTAATTAAGATTTGATTCATATCTCCATATTTCCTACGTTCTTATTCATCATTTCCCTATAGCAATAAGAAGTTATGCCCAATATTCCAGGAATCTCTGGTATACATAGAAATGTAATTAAAAAATTTGTAAAAGAATTTTGTTATGCTGTTTTATACTAAAGAGAAGATGTTCAACATTCTCTAGATCCTTCCAGATGAACTTTGAAATTATAACGAAGAGAAAACAATTCGTGAGACATAAACTATTCAACTGGAATAGTTTGATAACTTTATTTCATTTGAGTACACAAGAGAAATATATGGAGGGCAATGTGGAAGAATTATTAGATTGAGACTTGCCTGACAAAATTATTTAATGGGCTTGAATTAAAAATGATTCACCTTATATTATACGATCACAGGATTCCTGTATTATGATCATAATATGAAAACAACTTCGTAGATTTCCCACAATGACGAGTACCGACTAATGATACAGATATAATAAACATAATCTCGTTGGAATTAATAGTTCTCAGACATCTTGATTGATACTTATTGAATTTTAATGTAGCGAAGAGTGAGTTATCTGTTGAGAAAACAAATTGAAGCATGCAACCAGAATGAGCATCAGTAAGAGATTATCGTAATCAATCGACTATTCAGTCGCAATAAAATCTGGTAGTATAATGAGGCTGATGATGATGAGTTTTGGTGAAATAAAAACTGGTCAGAGTAGTCCCAACAAAACTGAATGTGTTACAAGTCTTTCCCCAGATTGGTAAAGTGAATTGAACTCTTGAATACCTAATAAACCTTTTAAATACGTATTTCGGCAACTACAAGGTATTATAAAGGGTGTCACAACAAGAACGCAGTATTTAAATTGGCCATCAATTCGTTAATACGAATTGTACGGTGTTATATAGATCGCATATACCAGCATCTCGTGATGTTTGAAAATACCACGACAAGATTTTGTGTATTTCATGTTCAGCATATTTTGCTTTCGCTCGGCTTCGCTCAACTTGGGTTAATCTGTGGCTCAACGCTCCGCCTCGCAAATGCAAAATTCGCTTGTCACAAAGTGTCACTTTTGATCCTAATAAAACAATCTACTATTAATGACACATCAACACAATTGGGGTATTACTTATTGACAATGAAGTTATGCAAAATGCTTTTTTCGGCAACCGTCTGGGAACTGCTCACTTCCCAGATACCGTCTGGGAACTGCTCACTTCCCAGATGCTTTTTCTTCGAGAAAGTAACATTTTTTTCCGTCTAGTCCAAGAAGTACGTACGAAAGTATCACATCGTTGTTGTCACTGTTACTATGAAAATCTTGGTAGATATGGTTTTGATAAATGCAGATGATAATTACCATAGCAGCGAAATGTCGGTTGACAGCTATTTGACATGAAATTAGTCGACATTCTGAGTTCTGATAGTTTGGTTGTAATTATCGCAATAAACTATCGAAAGCAGTTGCGATAGTGAGTTTGAAAATGTCCATACGAAATTTCTAATGTAACAGTCAGTAGATATAGGTATTCTGTTCAAATTTTGGTATTCGATACAAATGAGAATTAATAAAGAAGAAATTGTATTCTACGAATAAATATAATATGGAAATGTATCTCATTGATTTTTTATGGAATAAGATGTCAGTACGACCCACAGTAATTTTAGTCAAGGCTGCGTCTCCAAACATGTGTCTTTTGCTTGATGAAACTTGTCCAGATGAGTCGATCTGGAACCCACTTCGAAAAGTCATTTCACGAATCAATTACGCCTCAATGGATACCGTATAATTATAGATCCAACATCCGAAAATATTTTCACCGAGTCGGCATTTAATTTCAATGTGTTGGCATTTCTCAAGATGTCAATAATAATACGAAGAGCCCAATGAAGGAGGCGATGGTCAAAATTTTGGGCGTGGTCTTCTTTCCTCTCAACCTTCTAGTGTGAGAAACACGAAAAAAGGCTGTCCTTTGATTGATTCGCTTTTGTTGTCCAAATATTATTTGGCAATTTCGGAATTCAGGACAATAACCAGTGGCGTATGTTATGGAATGGTATAATAAAGCTATCATTTCCACCATAACTCTAAGACTTACAATCAATTCTTTTCAAGTAGTGGAAGTCTAATTCCATCCCGGAATCATGTAATGAGATATATATGTATACTAGTTCATGAACATAGCTTGGCCACCTATATTATATCGAGCAAAGCGAGAGTCATTTTGAATGAGAAACTGAAGTATTCAAAACTCTTCACAGAGAAAATTGAAGTGGAAATATTTAAACCTGAAACTCCTTTTCCGGATGCCAAATTCTTAACCAGAAAATATTATTGAGCCTTTGTAGTAGTGAATCAATGAAATATAAGTGAAGTTACCACTATTTCGACTCACTTGAGCAGATCAGTGTCCTAGCAGATATGATAACAGCTGTCATCTGACACACTTTCAGTTCGTAGGAGTTAATTTTCAACTTTAGCTCCTAAGTACTGGAAGTGTTGCCTCGCAACATACCTATTAATCATTTTATTGTGTCAGTAGCAGAAACGTCAACTTCAAGAGCTAATTTTAGAATAAAAATAAATCACATTCGAGTCGACTGCAAAAAAAATAGGTTTCTATTCAAGGTAGGGAAGTTGGTACCAACTTTTTAGCACACCTCATAAACCTTGGAGGACTGAAAATATTCCTGGTACAGTCGTATTCAGAAAAAAAAACATACAAGTATATTGAAGGGAGACATTAACATCATTCTATTTGAATGTTTACCAAATGTTGACAGTAGAGTAATCATAGGTTGTCAAAAACACAAAGTATTGGCTGAGCCAATTTTACTAGAACTAGAATGCCGCAATCTTCTATGTATAATACTTGTACGCTTTTTTATTGAATACGATTGTACAAACATTGGAAACGATCGATTATAAAGCATAACTATGTATGTATGTACCAATTTTCAAGTTATGTGTGGCCCACGTGAATCAGCCTGTATATGATTTTGAGACTATAAGAATTGTATAATAATCATGCAGATCCATCGTCTCCTACCAGTATCATTGGCAATTATCTTCTACAGTATATCTGTTCCTGTCATGGACACCCTGTAAATCAATTGAGTGTAACGTTCATTAATGTCATACAGCGTCATTCACTTCGTTTTAATCACTAGTATGTATCAACGTTGTTGATAGGTAATTAGTGCAATGAAATGCCACTCTTACTTGTTCGTAGCAAATCTTTTATTTTGTACGTGATACCCTATCAGTATACAGGGTGTTCATTTTTCTCAGATCTCCATCATAATGATCTGAGCAATGCACAATCATATAGTCAGAGTGTTATTCAAGTATGTGGCTAAACGCTCGGCTAAACGTCAAGCGGCGATTTTTTTTCGTGATTCTAAGACGAAAAGTTCTTCCGACCACAGTTCTTTATTGAGAAGGAATATTCTCAGGTGAATTATGAACATGAAAAAATGCATGTATATATGAAGAATTACATTGATAATTCGCATTCTCTATGTGATGAGAATATCAATTCCTTTTCGGTTGATTCAACAGAAAACAACTACTTTCCTGGCTATATGCCACGACAAACATTGAATAATATGTTTTTTATTAGTTGGAGAAGACTATAGTTCCTTATTTCTTTTTTTATCGACAACAACTCAGTCATAGTTCAGAATCAGAAGTACCTACTGAACAGCACTTCTCTGTAGGGCCATGTAATGACAACAAAACGCAGGTACTATGAGAATATCTTCTGACCATTTGGGAACTGTATATACATAAACCATGAATACTTGGTTGAGTAAAGACATTTGAATTAGATACGGTCCTGCTTCGTATTTGAACAAGTATATTCTGTGCCTTCTATTTACTTCATGAGACATTGAGAGGAACTGCTAATTGAACAATTGATATAAATGATTATCAAGATGATAGTAGATACAATAAGTGAGTATATGGATGAACCATCTTTCTGAATTCTTCGAAAGATTGTGTACCTATATCAACAACTGTGATGTTCAAGACATTCCTAAAATGAGGCTAGTGATTCTGAGAGTGCCCCAGTTTGTTTAGCCAGACCTGGAATTTCTTCAAATTGTAGTCACTATATCAAGGATGACCTTGATAAGGGTATTGAGTTTGTTGAACAGCAATCTTCATTTCAATTCATTCTGTGGAAATGGAAATTCTTACGATAGTTGAAATATTTTAGATTCAGATAAAGAAATTCATTACGAGATTGGGTTTTTTCATGTTCTGGTTCCCACGAAAAGGGATATCCTGTAATGTTCAGAGAACAATATGAGAACCAAAGGAAATAAGGTAGGAATGGGTGTTCCTTATAGATTTCTGGAGGTTATATGCCTCGGGGAACACCTCCTTTGGCAATGTGTTCCAGAGCCTCGCTCTTCGTTGGATGAACGAATCTTTGGAAAAAAAAGTTCTGCAGGTCTCCAAAGTGACCACGAAGGGGTGCGAAGCCTCAACTCGACGGGTTAATTTCGCGGGGACTGCCAAGGGAGGAACAATTGTTGTTATTTCAGAAGAGCATCGTCCATGAAAATATTTATTAAATAGAGCCAGATCGTCAACTTTTCTACGGTGTTCCAGAGAAGTGAGTGAGTTTGTGAGCGAGGCATCATCCACGAGACGGATTGCCCTTATTTGGACAGAATCCAACAGTTCCAGGGGATGTTTGGGTGCTGCACTCCAAATATTGGAACATTATTCCAGGGTACCAAAGTTCATATGGTTATGGCCTCAGATGTGATGGCATTTGAACGACTATTTCATTCATAACATAATCTGACCAATCACAACAGAGACAACTTGTGTTATCGCAGAAACACTAGCTGATTTCCAATTCTGATTGGTCCATCAGCGTTGGTGTTTTTAACGATGTAACCATAGAAGCGAAGCTAAGTCTGTCAGTTTGACATAATGATTATTTGTAGTTGTCAGAATGAATCGCTCATTAATTTATTATGTATGCTTTTCA